TTAGACTGACGTCCGGGATATCATCGGAATAGTGTCGGATAAGACTTGCTCTTGGATCGTTACTCACACTTGCGTGTGGCTCCAACGATGATGTGTACAGCTGCCCATAGAACCTCTCAATCTCACTCAAAATCTCAGGTGTCCCGGAAACGATGTTGCCACACTCAGTCTTCAGCCTTGACAGTTGGCTCTTTCTGGCAGACAGATCTCTGGCAAAGACTTTGGAGCCCTGGTTCCGCTCGATCGCTTCTTTAATACGAGAAGTATTAAAGTTGCGTAAGTCTCGCCGTATGCATTTGGAGATCTGTCTGTTCAGTTGCCTGTATGCTGTCAAATCTGTTGACGGTTGCAGCCTCATCTCCCGTCTAACAGCCATGAGATTAAGAGTGTGATCGGAGAGTTTTTGTGTTCTTCTGCGGCGGGTCTTGCAGAACTTAGCTCCGACCGCATGGACAGTTTCCACGAGCTTGTCGTTCATATCGTCCACTGCATTGCAATCTTCTAGGCACTGGAAGCGGTTACGTAACTCGAGCTGAAAGGTTTCGGGATTCTGGATTAGAGCACGAGGGGGACGGAGCGTTGACTTCATTAGACGAGACCTCTCCAACTTAACGTTTAGGTTCAGTGTGCCTCTAACCATTCGGTGATCGCTGCCAGTTTTCACCCTTGCGATCACTGAGACATCACTGAACAGTTGGCGTCTGGTCGTCATAATGAAGTCAATCTCATTTTTTGTCGAACCGTCGGGGCTCGACCAGGTCCACTTCCTGTGGGGCCGCTTCTGGAAGAAAGAGTTCATCATAAAGAGTCCCTCTTTCTCCATAAAGTCGGCCAGCTGCTGGCCCCTTCGGTTCCGTTGCCCTACTCCAAATTTCCCTACCTTCAGCTCACCGCTTTCTCTTGTGCCCAGTTTTGCGTTGAAGTCTCCCATCAACACCGTGTAGTAGGTTTTGGAGGAATGTATGGCTCTGGAAATATCCTCATACATTTCCTCCACCTCCTCATCGGGATGTGCCGAGGTTGGTGCGTAAACCTGAATGACCTTCAGCGAATACCGTTTGGTGATTCTGAGTATCAGGTACGCGACCCTCGTCGACACACTCCCAATCTTTACAACGTTGTTGACGAGAGATTTGTGGACGATAAATCCGACACCTCCTTGGGACAGATGGTCGCCCTCCCGGTGATAGAACAAGTTGCCGGACTCGAGGATTGCCGTGTCCTCCCCCTCTCTTCGGACCTCGGATAATCCAATAATATGCCAGCGCAACTTGTCTACCTCTTCTTCCAGCTCCAGTATCTTCTCGTCAGTCCTCAGGGTGCGTGCGTTATATGTTGCCAGGTCGAGTCGTCGTAGGTGGCAACCGAACCTCCACCGGAGATTCTTAGCACCCCCTGCCCCGCCGTTACCATGGTCGCCACCGTAGCCAGGAATAGCGGGGCCGCCGGGGACTGGGGGCCGTCTGTTTGTGTATTTATTCATTGGGGGGTATTTGCCATAGTTGCCACGCTTGGCGAGCGGGTTGGCAACCGCAGTTTTTTATTACGTCACAGTTGTCATCAGGAAGACGCTGCTGCCCATCTCCTGCCTGTCTCCCTCTGTCGCCTCTTACGACACCCACGGGAAGATATGCGGTAGTGGATATTCTTAACCGCCACTACACGGCTATATATATATATATATATATATATATATATATATATATATATATATATATATATATATATATTTGCCCTAGTAGTCTCGCTTGGCGGGTGTGTAAGCAACTACAGTTTTTTTTGTTTTCATTAGGAAGACGCTGCTGTCAATTTTTTGGTTTGTTTCCCTCTGTCGCGCACACACGGGATGATATGGAGTAGTGCATATTCTTACTATGTTACTACACGGTCGACGTATATAATGTTCTTTTTAGCTTCATTCCACATATAAATATAATATTCTTTTTTCCTCCACCTGATGGTAAGTGGTTGCTGTGGCCCATATACATCTACATCTATCCTCGTTTACGAATCAAAATGCAGATGCACCCGTGAGGACTTAGGTGGAATGCCTCGTTTCCAGTAAATAGGATCTCCGGTTCTCTACACACACCGTACGAAACACAGCAGCATTAAGCTACTATTTGACGCTGGTATTCTGTGAGAGCGTGGTCCCTCCCCGGTCGAGCCGACCCATTCGTGCTACAACTATACTACTAACTTAACTGCAGCATAGCTCTACCACGTAAACGTAAATGGGATCATGACAATCTCAATCACTGTTCGGTTTTCAGACACAATAGTAAGACAATAGCAATGACCTATATGTGGTACACTGACCAGCGAAAGGTTTAAGATATAGCTCATTCAATAAAAAAAAAAATTGGCTCAAAATCGGCAAAAATATCTTTTAACACATGTATGCAAAAATACACTATAGATTTCTAAATAGAATAAGGGTGATTGATAGGTTAACGAGCACACAGTCGTGATGGTAAGTGAATGCTGCGGCTCATAGACATCAAACATTTTTTTTTCAATCAATAATCAAAGTACGCATGCGTTGCCACCCCTGAGGACTAAGATGAAATGCCCTGTTTCCAGTAAAAAGGGTTTCCGGTTCTCTGCACTCACCATACGCCATACCATATCATAAGCATTAAGCTGCTATTTTACGCTGGTATTTTGTAAGAGTGTTCTTGACCTGTCGAGACGTCCCAATTTAGCTATAAGAGGATCTTTATCTTTTTTAAGACTGCTAAAAATATCGCGTGGCGATTACGGTAAATCCTCTTTACGTTGAGAGATATTAGAATTAAATAATATCTAATTTCATCACTTAAAATTTATTCGGTACCTTTTGTCGCTCTCTCTTAAAACGTACGTAATTCATAGTCATTATTGTTAAGGGGCCCTTTGTCTTTCTTAAAAGTTTCTAATGTCCGTCCATTTATAACATTAATACCCAGTTTTATGAGGCGTCAAACTTGGTATTATTCTTCCGCTTTCTGAATTCTAACTGCCTATTAAATACGTTTTATTCATTAAGTGCCTTATACAAATAAAATGGCTCTTTTAAAACCATATCGTCGTATAAATGGTATAAGATTTTCTTATGACTAATGTAAGATTAATGAAAAGAAGATTAATAAAATAATGAAATAAAAAGTGGAATACATTAAAAATGGAAGGATGAATGCAAAGTTCCTTGTTACGTATACTGTAGTTGGTTAAAAATGGCATCGTGATAAATCCATTAGATATCCGTAAGAAAACCAGAGAATTTAACCGACACGGCGATGCTATTAATTAATAATGCACTGGCCGTTTAGTCGTCTTGTAACCTTGTAAAAGAACCCACTATCTCGTAGTGGGCGTAGTAATAGGCGTGAGCAGCAGCATCTTCCTGATAACAACTCAAAATTAATAAATATTTTTGGCCTAAACCAGCTTGCCAAGCGTAAGAACCAAGGAAGTCCTATGATCACCAGAGGGTTTTAAAATAAGCTTGTAATGCGTGAATGATGTCCAAGTTTAATTTTCATTCATAAATCAGTACCAACTGACCTTATTTACATATAGCAACCCGCTCATCGTCGTCTGTATAGGGTCTATTGATTTGGCCTTATTTGGATTGAAGATAATCAAAGATCAATTATTTTGTTAAATTTTCGTTTTTACGAAATAAAAATTCTAGTTTTTTTATATATAAAATACCCTCGAACCCTTCTGGTTTTGCTCTCAAGTCGTTAAACTGTCATTGCGCTTTATAATCTTCGGCTACATCACCTTTTACCATTAGGTGAGCTAGCAGTTAAGCACTGACTTATAATATTATAGTTAAAAATATTAACATTTTTTTCCGATTAAGAAAATAAGGTCATGATTTCTTATATATTGCTTCATGCGGTGTATTTGCTTTAGGTGGCAGGCAAATTGGCAATCGCAATTTTTTAATATTTTGAGTTGTTATCGTAAAGTCACTTCTGTACTTTTCCTGGTTTGTTTCCCTTTGTTGCCTCTTATGAAACCCACGGCATGATATGAGGCAAAAGATATTCTTCCACCGCAACCGACTAGGTCACAAACCGAATCGGTAATATAGAATTGTAATAATTACCTTATCTATTTATAATGACGTGCTTTATTAACAGATAACTTTTATCAAATCTTATTGAATGTTTTGGGTACACGGTCGCTTGCAAAAAAACTTATGTTTTATACGTTTTTGATTATTATGTTTATGAAAATTGAATAACTACCTAGATCAATTGATAGCTACGTTGTAAACCTTCTTATATGAAGAGTACAAACCAAGTTTAACACAAGTGTAAAGTGAAATGTCTAGTCATTTATGAAAATATAGATGAGATTCGTTTTTATATTTCACTATGCGAGTATCGTGCATAGTCTTCTGCATCACTGCAACATCATAAAATTCTTCTCTTTAGTTGTATCTCAGGTAACTAAACCCTACAAAATACCTCACTATCTCATCATACAGCTTAAGAGACTTGATCGTCTCATGAGTGTCGTTAAAGGCGACTGAGGTATGTGTCAGATATGATAAAATATATGTCTGCTATGCAATGACAGCAAGTATGCTTGCAGACTACAGGAAGTTGAATTTTTACAATTAATGATATGCTAACAAAAACTATACAATTGAATAGGACTGACATAATATCTAAATATTAGGTTACGTGACTGTACGTTGATTTCATTCGTTTAATAATTATAGTATTTTATCATCGTTAACGATTAAAAGTCTACTTAGCTGGCTGGTTAAGGAGTAATAGTGTTTTGTGACTGGTAGAGAAGAAAAAGATAAAAAATAATAATAAAATATTGGAAAATGATTACGGAACCAAGTAAGAAGTAAAATGTTTGATAACTTTTAAATCAGTTATTGATTGTTCAACTGATAATAAAATTTCATAGTTTGATTTTGTAATATGCAAAGTGAATTTATATCATTGATCGTCTCTGTAAATATATCATCTAATTACATTATGTTTATAATGAGGAAAACAAGTATTTTATTAAGTTTTTTTGTTCTTCTTATAAATAATTTAGTTCAAGGTCATTTGCATTTAGATTGGGATACACCAAATCAAGCACTTAATCAAAGTTTGTTCGAAGATGTGCTTGATTCTGAGGAATGCCGTAGACAAATTAACTTTTTAAGGGATAACACACTACAGTTAGCTTTATGTAAGTTGACACTTTCTTTTAGCTGATTTGAAGAAAGGAGATTGTCATTTCATTTAATGTAATTTTTGTATGAATATGTTATGCGATATCTCAACTGTCCTATCTTTTTCTTCATGGGTTCATTTTTTACCAATTTGGCAAAAAGGATCCATACCTATGTTTGGAATTCCTTAATATAATGTTTCACCTTTTACCTAAGGGGTGACAACGCATCTGCATTTTGATTCTTGCCATAGCATCCACTTACCATCAGGTGAACTGTGTGCTCGTTTATCACCCTTATTCTATAAAAAAAAACTTCAAAGAATTAAAACAAATAAAATAATTTTCTCTTAATAGCTTCTCAAGTGATTTAATTTTTCAATACCTTTTGTCATAGCACCTCATTTATATTAAAACTGTATTTTTGTTTTTGTTAAACAATAGTATTTTTTAAAAATGATTTTTAAATATTTTTTTTCGTTAATATTTTTTCCTACGATTTTAAAAGAAAAGGGCCTTTTTATGTAATAAAGGACCATTTTCGTATATCAGTCTTTAGAAAGTACTGACGAGCCTTTCCAGTAATACTGCGGCTTCTTGACCAAAGTGATGTATTAAAGTTACTGCCTATATACGTCCCACTGCTGGACACCGGTTTCTACACTTTAAAGAGGTTTATAGGAGTATATAGACCGCCTCTCTCAGTTCGAGATGAGCGCGTTTCCTTAAGGTGGGTCTACGCTAGACCAGCCGAGCACGAGCGGAGCATGAGCCGAAAACTCAAATTCGTGTAGTGTGAACCGACTTAGAAGCATTTAACGAGCGCGCTTCGAGCGTTTGGTTCGTGCACGAATGTGCTACGAACACAAAAGGATTTGCATCGCATGCATCGAATTACATGTTGTAGGCTCGTTGGACGTCTACACTTGACACCGCGAGTAGAGCGGCTCAGCTTGTGCTCAGCTCGTGCTCGGATCATCTAGCGTAGACCCACCTTTAACGGTTTCTTTTACCGTCAATCACATATTAAATCAGAACTTAAAATTGCAATTAAATTATTATTTGTTATATTTAGGCGAACACTACACATTGATTAAAACTACTTTTACGGATTTTATCGCGTTTAATTTTAATTATTTATAATTCCAGACATTTCGGATGCTTTCCAGTACCCATGGTCGAACTTTAAAAGGTACTCCGGGTTTGACAATGACATCGAGACTTCAGTGATCTCAGTGCCCTGTGACCATGGGTGCTGGATAGCACCCGAAACGTCGTGAATTAAAAATAATAATTGCATTGATTAATGCAATTAAATTTTTCATCGGTGCCAGCAAGCATCGGACCTCGGTTGCTCGTGGACTGTGAAATTTATAGCAACTGCCAAGCCCCTGAGCTATCACGGCTTTGTAAGTTCACCTTATCGCAAGTGAATTCTGGTATCTATGAACCATAGACATTTATGTAGATCTATGTAGATGTCTATGGGTCACATCACTGATTATTTATCAAACTATGGACGTATTATTACCCCTAAAAACAAAGTTGGTTGTCTTAATGCCAGTAAAAAGGGCTTCCGATACACGGCACTTACCGTAAGAAAACCGCAGCAGCAAAACAGAAACAGCAGAAAAACAGCAGCATCATGCAACTATTTAACGCTAGTATTCTATGAGAGTTTGGCTCTTTCTCAGTCGAGCCAACCCATACTGGGTTACGAGCAACTACAAAATATTAATGAATTATTGAATAAAACACTCGTAAAACAGATTAATTGTTTTTTTTTTAGTTTTAGATGCTGGTATCAGGATTCCCCGAGGCATATTTGATGGCAATACAATGGATTTAGGCAATTACCACCAGTGTTTAAATATTAACCTACCTCTTAATAATACTGCTATTGAGGGTAAATATTGCATGATTCGAGTTCCCTTCAACCAGGAATTGGATCTGCCGAACTCATCTACTCCAAGGTGGTTAAATTTTAACCCCAGTTCCTTGCGTATGGACGAGGATGTTATATCAATGTTAAAAGATTACAGTTACAGAAGAACAGCATTAAAGGCGCTATTTGGCACTGATCTGAATGAAATAAGGTATTTTTGTTAATTTTTCTTATCTTTCTGCGGCTTTTTCCTACACTCGGAAAAACTGTCATGAAAGATATGATGACATTTAATGTCACATTTTCATCATAGTAACAGCAATAGTATTTAAAAGAAATTCAAAAAATAATGCCGTTCAGCTTATGTTAGGATATATATCCCTAGAACCCATACTGTCCTGTGGGTACCGTAGAAGGCACATATAAGAAAAGCCAGAAAGATTATGACATCTGATAGATGAAGGTATAACCATCTTGCACAAATTACCAGACCAGAGGTGTGAGAGCGTCACGAGAGGAGCTGAGATAACATAACAGCATACTTAAAATTTTTGTTTGGAGTAAGAGTGACATAACGAGCATACAACATAGCATACATCCCACCGCATGATGGAAATGTATGCTTGGGCCTTTATCTATAACATCTACATCTCTCCTAGATTTTAAATCAAATATAAATGCGTCGCAAGATAGAGTGCCTTGTCACCAGTTAAATGTATTCTCCGTTTATACATATCTGTACATGTATTATGTAGTATATGGTACTCAGTGTGAGCGTGTGGTCATACCCCAGTCGACCCATTCTTGATGCAACTATTATAAAGCTGCGGAGTAGCTTTACCTCGTTAAAGATTATCTAACTATACAACGAATTTATGTATATACATTGACATAGTTATAAATTTAAAATTATAAAACATGAATACAATATAATATATAACATATTCTAATTCTTAAAAATAGTAAAATATAATCTTTGCAGATCGGGGCTTGGCAATCCTCTACAGTATTCAGTGTTTCGATTAGCTGTTTGTATACCAAAGCCTTGCACTACACAGGAAGCCATATCTGAACTGCTTTTTAATATTAGTTCTATAGGATTTCAGTATGAAGATGATTATTGCCGTCTGCCAAATGATAAACCATGGGTACCTGCAGACTACACCGCTATGTAAGTTATGATATTTATGCTACAACGATCTTCAAAGCTAATTTTATTAGATCAGCAGTTTTACCTTAGCCTAGGGACTTTAAAGGAAAGGGAGGTATTTTACACATGATTATTCTTGCCAAAGTAGTATTTACTGTAAGGGATCTGTGACAGAAAACATCTGGCCGCCTAGCTTCAGCACGTCAAGCAAGTACTGCAAGACAACAAGCTTCGGGTCCCGCGCCTACGTCACAGTGACTGAGTGAAGCCGGCCACAGTCGAGCGTGTGCCTGCTGTACTACCATATGTCAGAGGAGTCACAGACAAGGTTGGCTAGATCTTGAAGCGAGCTTCCATTAAAACATACTGCAAGCCGCCAAAGAAGATTAGTCAATTTTTACCATCCGTCAAGTGTAATATCCCTATACAAGATGCAGGAGTGTACAAGTTAGATTGTGAATGTGGTCTCTCTTACATAGGTCAAACAAAAAGATCCATAAAAACCCGCGTGAAAGAACATATAGCAGACAGGAAGCACGGACGCCCCGGGAAGTCTGCAGTCTGTGAACATGTTCAAGATCGTCCCCACCATTACATCCGATTTGATAAACCATAAATCCTCGCAAAAGAACACCGATTCCTACTAAGGATGATACGCGAGGTTATTCAAATTAAAAAACATCCTAATTTCAATAGAGAAGATGGATCGGTGCTGCCATCTGCTTGGGATCCTATAATTAACAAAATTAAACCAAAACCCAAGCATACCACTGCAAGACTACAAGATACTGTAAGCTCGTTTTGCGTAGATCGGACCGAAAAAATAATATTAAAAAACTGAAGGTAGCCGGGTTAACTCAAACATCTCAGTCCCCCCGACCCGAAACGTCGGGAGCTAAAAATATGTAAAAGTAGTTAATTAAACGCGATAAAATCCGTAAATTTAGTTTTATTCAATATGCAGTGTTCGCGTAAATTTAAGGAACCCACTGTCACTTCTTCACGGAAATCCTTTCCACCTCTCTAAAAATCAAAATAATACATCTACTTCTAAAATAATATAAATATTACTAAAGTATTTTTTGTCTTTTGCAGAACATTATTTTTCTTTATCGGTTTCTTATGTATCATCAGCACCTGCTACGAAATAAATCAGATTTTCGTTTTAAAAAGGGGTAAGTAGAAAAAAGAAATATAGTTTATTTATTTCAAGGACGGATAGATGGTAAACTTGCGTAAATGATACGTGTTTGTGCCACGCGTCGAATATACGTTATACCAATTTATTCTGTGGTTATACCAAGATTATGAAATATAGACCCAGCATAATATGTAATGTTGTCTTACACTGCCGTAACTGTCGACTTAATAGTAGTTATAAAGGTAACAATACGATAAAAAGAAAAATGGAAGAGAAAAATATTATAAGAAAAATCCTTCTACCTTTATTAAATATTATTTTGTTGTTACTATTGTTTGTCAAATTTTTTATCATCAGCATTATTTTATTGCAGATCCAAAATCAGTAAATGCACTTTTCCGGTCGTTCTCCGTATATAGTAATACAAGCCGCCTTTTAAACTTTTCGTCTGGGCCAGGTGCCTTGGAATGTTTGGATGGTGTAAGAGCCTTGGCTATGATATGGGTTCTAATAGGACACAGTTTTTCTTCACAACCGTTCACATATAATCCTTTGGAAACTTTTCGGGCAAGTAATTTGTTTCTAAATTATTTCTTATCTTTACGTGAACACTACACATTTAAATGAAACTAATTTTACCATATTTTATTTACTTATTTATAAACATATTTTATATTCAGAACATTTCGAGTACTTAACAGTACTACAGATGTTTCTAATAGGTTACAGGTTATAAACGAGCACACAGTCTACCTGATGGTAAGTGGATGCTGTGGCCCATAGACATCTACATTCGATTAAGAATCAAAATACAGATGCGTTGTCACCCCTGAGGACTGAGATGGAATACCTCGATCCCAGTAAAACGGGTCTCCGGTTTTCTACACTCACCATACGAAACACAGCAGCATTAAGCTGCTATTTTTCGCTGGTTTTCTGTGAGAGCGTTGTTCTTCCTCGGTCAAGCTGACCCATTCATGCTACAACCATAATAAAGCCGCAGCGTGGCTCTACCACGTAAAAAAATCCAAACATTGCTCATTTAACACCTGCTATGGTACAAAATGGAGTGAAAGTTTGTCATATACCGCTATTACACACAGCCGTGAATAAAAAATTTAATAAAGATTCGCAATAAATTTCGAAATACACTTTTTTCTACCAAGAATTCAAGCAATATTAGAATACAATCGTAAATTTATTTATAAGGTTGTTCTATTGTTACAGTGGATGATTTCCCTCGAGGCATTGTGGGTAACAGCTGGACATATTACCGTGGACACGTTTTTCATGCTAAGTGGTTTGTTGGTGGTATATACTGCTGCAGGAAAATTAACGTCAGGTATTAAAAATAGTAATTTAAATGTATTACGGCTACTTACACATGTATAGAATAAAGCATTATTAAAGAAAAATGCAGGCCTTATGACGTTTTAATTTGATTTGAATTTAAAATTAAAGTTGATTGGAACTTTGTGATAGGTACTGTTATCTTCATAATTTTCAATTTTTCTTATATTATGTGTGGTGTGTTTATTACAAAGGGAAATTAACTGTCAATAAACAAAAATTCACGTATCATAGCGGTAGTACACTAAGATACGGTGTTGAGTATTCTTGTTGCACTTAAAATGACTACTAAACACAACCCTAATCCGAAAGTTAGCAGACATATTATCATAACGCTATGCGCTAAGACAATGGGTGCGTTTGGCAGAAAAAGCGCTAGCAAGCGCTTGTTAGCAAAATGGCGATCGTAAGCGGTAAGCGCTGTCAAAACGTAAGTAGCTATTTTCCTCTAGGACACGATCTTAGTTTTAACCGGGGAACCTAACCTAATTTAAATATATGTTTGTGAAGTATTCATATTAAAAACTTACCAATAATGAATTTTTAATAAAATGTATATGTCTATTCATGTCATTATATTGCTTAAAACTAATATTGCAAAAAACAACTTATAAACTCTACTTCAAAACAAAAAAATTAAATAAGCAAAATGGCGGATTATGTCAACGCTACTGAAGTAGCAATCGTGTCCTGGCCGAAAACTATTTTAGCGCTAGTAAGCGCTTGCTAGCGCTTTTTTCTGCCGAACGCACCCAATGTCCACAATCGGCAGGGATGTGCGATGTCCTCGGGCAAATCGTATTGCTACAAGAAATCCGTTTACCACCGGAACCAAGATGGTGTGCCTAAGACATATCGGTTAGCGATTCCAAGTTTACCTCGGTCTCGGACACTGTGAAGCCGCTATAGCAACAAACAATCAGGTTTCATATCTATAAATATAATACTTTTACATATTTGAGACCTTCTACATATTTGCTTTTTTATAGATATTACTATTAAATGTCTTTTTACGCGACTGTCAAGGAAGGGTTATGTTTTTCGCGTGATCTTGTATATTTGTAAATTTCTTTATTACCTCGTATCTTCCAAACGACTGGATGGATTTCGAATTAAGGTACCATTTTATTCGTCTTAATAACCCAAGTGTTCTTAAATAGCTTTTTTTAAATAAACAAAATGGCGGATTTTTGGCGCAAAATAGTAATACTAAGTACTAATAAAATAAATAATTAAAAACATCAATAACCCGACTGCAAAAAAGACAATTTAAGAGTAATGCACTAAAAACACCGAAACAAGTTTGAGTAAAGAAAAAAAAAGTCAACGCATTAATTTTCCGCTTTTTTTCGGTTTATAATTTTTAATTGGGTCCCGCCTGCTACTAAATATTTCACTTAGGCTATTTTACTTAGGCTTTGAGCTCATAATATAATCCGTTAATCTGAAGTAGAATTTACTTTGTTTATAGATTTTTTTAATTTTGTTTTCTTTACTCAATCTTGTTTCGGTGTTTTTAGTGCATTACTCTTAAATTGTCTTTTTTGCAGTCGGGTTATTGATGTTTTTAATTATTTATTTTATTTATATGGAATTTCAAGCCACAACTCTGTGGTCTATATGATCTTGGGTATGCGACTCCCGCAGTTCCCTTATGAAAGCAATTATTATATAAGACGCGCATTACGTGAACGAATGGAGCGTGCCCCATAACTCACAGAATTTTATGACTAGTTTCTCAAATTTAACCTTGTTAATTCCATGACTTGACACTGGCAGAATTTTATCAAGAGAAGCCATAATTTAAAAGAAGAAGAAATACACTCAAGTTTTCACAAATAACCTTATTACTATTATTTCTAATTTTTAGATAATTTTATGTCAAACGTCAATAAAAGACTTTTTGAAAATCTAAAAGTGCACGACTTATAATGCTCATATGATCGTGAAACAATGTAGAAAAAAATTCTCAATCAACAATAGAAAATATTTTTTTACATTTTACTATGTTACTATTATTGAGATTAAAAAATATTGTTAATAGAAAAAAACTTAACAGAATAATCTTAAAACGATCAGAAATTAACTTTAATATTACTTACTACTCAGGCATTATCGTATAAACTAGTCTTTTTGTTAGTTAGTTAGAACTAGTTTCTTGTATCGTAAAAACTATTTTTTTGTCATCAACTTTATTTCGTTTTTAAAAAGTTTTTCATCTAGTCATAATCAGTATTTTAATTTAGCATTCACCGAAGTACACCTTCAGGTCACTCTATAAAGTTCAAGACGTATAAGTATATTTCTATATAAATCGTACGTTCTTTTAGCGAAACAATATATTGGATTGAAGATCTGTGATTATAAAAATAATAATAGAATCTTACCTTGGTCAAGTATGTATCAAATTTGGTTTTTGGCATATTTTGTATTTCTTCAGCGATTTATATTTTTCATCACGAGCCGCTGTAAACAAATGACACAGTAACCCACTCACGACGGCGGCCAATCTCGGAGTGAGTCAAAGTGTATCT